GTGACAATGAGTGTGTATATGTCCATGAATGACTGAAAAATTGTGCTGAACACTGGAATTTGACACAACATTGTAAAATGATTATAAATCAATAAAAAATGTAAAAAAAAGAACATCTGAGGGAAAGTAAACTTACAAGACTTTACAAAAAGAAGCAGGGACCATGAACAAAGGTAAACACAACTTGAGGCTGTCCGAATGTTGACTTGCATCCTGTGTGTGGCAGGACGTATTCAGAGAACACTGCTCTTATCCACTGCCTGGAGTAGCTGTTTTAATAGAGAGGTCTCTCCCCAAGAAGTGTATCTTAGGTGTACATGTCTCTAACATTTGGGATGCTTTGGGGTCACTGTCATAAGCCCTGGATGTTGTATGTGAGAACCTTCCCCAGGAACCTAAATGGGAGGTTGTTGAAGTTGCTAAGGGTCAAGTGTGAGCTCACATTTAATGGAGAGGGAATTCATGAGGGTAAATTACATTCAGTGCTGTGGCCTGGGCAGCTCTCAAGAGGTAGCACAGAGGTTGACTTCTGCTGTGTCTGGGCTCAGCCCTTTACTATAAACGTTATAATGCTGACTAATAAAATACTCGGTAAGCTCTTGGGTTGTCGTCAGAATTTGTCAGGTCCTCCCCTCTAGATTGTGGTGCCAGGAAACACCCACACGGGGCACTTGGAGCAGCTGATTCCAGACGCACCCTATTCCGGGGATGTCATGGCCGTCCACTCAGATGGAAAGGGATTCCCGCCCAGCCCAGGGCCAAACACATGAGGCTGAAATCCTTTCCACCCAGTTCCGTTGTGACTCAGTGAGGAAGGCTGGACAGGTGGGTGGTGAGGGAGGGGTGCTAAAGCTGCCTTCACCTTGCGCAGGTGAGGGGAGGCCTCGCGCCTACTTCTGCCCGGGTTCCCCATGTTCACATTCAGGCTGAAGGCCCTCAGGGCTGAGTGAGTGTCACTGAGACGTTTTCTCATCTGGGACCTTTGTTAAGGAGGTTTCTTCCCTTCTCCTGCCCTGCAGTGGGCCTTCTCACCAACTAGGCACTTTTGAAATGAGGTCTTGACTTCTCTGTTTCATTCAACAAGAAGTGGTCAGAGTATTTGTAATCCCTTTGTCTACCAGTCTGTACATTTAGGTTCCAACCTAGTCTCTGTCCCTAAAAGATCAGCATGTAACCATAGCTCTGAATAGAGCACCTTTTTTTAAACATTTTTTATTGAGTTATAGTCAGTTTAAAATGTATCAACTTCCAGTGTAGAGCACAATATTTCATTTACACATGAACATACATATATTCACTGTCACATTCTTTTTCGTTCTGAGCTACCATAAGATCTTGTATATATTTCCCTGTGCCATACAGTATAATCTTGTTTACCTGTTCTGCATATACTTGTCAGTATCTGCAAATTTCAAACTCCCAGTCTGTCTTTCCCATCCCCCACCCCCTTGGCAACCACAAGTTTGTATTCTATGACTATGAGTCTGTTACTGTTTTGTATTTATATTTGTTTTGTTTTTTTAAGATCCCACATATGAGCGATCTTATATGGTATTTTTCTTTCTCTTTCTGGCTTACTTCCCCAGGAGAGAGAGGGCAAGATGAGGAGAGGGTAGGCCCAGGGGAGGGCAGGCAAAGGACATGAGAGGCCCAGGTGACGGTAGGCCAGGACAGTACAGCCCCATGAGAGGGGAGGCCCAGGAGAGGGCAGGCCCAGGTGAGGGGAGGCCCAGTAGATAGTGGGCAGGACCAGGAGAGGGCAGGACAAGGAGCGGGAAGGACCAGGTGAGGGCAGGCCCAGGAGAGGGCAAGTCGAAGGGCAGGACAAGGTGTGTTCAGGCACAGTTGACGACAGGCACAGGAAAGGGCAGGTCCATGAGAGGGCAGACCCTGGTGAGGGCAGGAACATGAGAGAGCAAACCCAGGAGAGGGTTGGCCCAGGAAAGGTCAGGCTCAGGTGAGGGCAGACCCAGGAAAATTCAGGAACAGGAGAGGGCAGGCCCAGGAGAAGTCCTATTAAACTTCGAAGAGATGACGTTGAGAGGCAATGGGTATTTGAGTCTGGAATACAGGAGGGAGGTCTGGTTTGGAAATAGCAGTTTGGAAGTTATGAACTTGTAGATAATACATAAAGCCCTAAGGCTGATGTGGGCGGCAGCAGACAGTAGCAGAGGCCAGAAGACTGAGCCTCGGGGTGCTGTGTGCCAGCACTCAGGGACTGGGACTGAGAAGACTGGCCAGGGCCGTGGGAGGAAACCAGAGCAGCCTGAGACCCGGGAAGCCCCGTGAGGAAAGGGCTTGAGGAAGTCGGGGAGAGCAGCGGTGGGAAGCGTGGCTGCCGGGCCGTGCGAGGAGAGGGCTGAGAGCTGCCCGTGGAGTCAGCACCTGGTGGGTGGTGGGGGACCCTGTCGTGAGCAGTTGCAGTCAGTGGACATGCTTGCTTGGATGGAAAATGAAAGGAATCAGAGGAAGCAAATGGGAACAGCTTCTTTGCAGGGGCAGTGCCAGAGAGCAGAGAGATGGGGCCGCAGCTGGAGGGTGAATACATCTTTGTTTTTTAAGATAAGGGAAATAACAGTGTATGCTAATAGAAAAGATAGGTTAAAAGGGTAAATTAGTAACACCACATTCACTTAGGTCAGGGGAATTGCAGGTGAGGGCAGGTATGGGCACAGAAATGCCCCTGAGAGAGTCAGCTTCAAAACACTTGCCAGGTCCAGTCCACTCAAGACCAGCTCCCAGGAGTGTCAGCCCCTTAGGAACTCTACCGCCCCCTGCAGTTTTGATCCTGGCAGGGCCAGAAGCCATAATTAGCCAGCTGAGGAAGGAAGGATGGAGTTAGGCAGGAAGAAGAGACCTGCCCTGCCTTCCACCCCTCCTGCAAGTGGTCAGCCAGCAGCGTGGCCTCGCTGAGTAACTGACGTGGTGTTTTCATAGTTACGTGATTAAAAAGCTCTCAAATATTATACCATGCTCCCAAATAAACCTTGGACTGATTAAAGATTTAATTGGTGGAAATTAAAGCAAAAAATAAAATAAAGTGAAGAAAGTGTGTAAACATAAGGCTGAGCCACAGAGCAGGGTCAGCAGACATACAGGAACACATTTTCATTTCATCTGGAGAGTGTGTATTGGTTTCTCAAGTTTGTACTTAATGATACACATTGCCACAATCTCTGAAACCATGAAAACAGCTTTCTGCTGTTTGCATCTGCTAAATTCCCTGGAGGCTGGCTGGGGCCCAGAGGGATGGGGAAAGGAATGAACTGAGGGATTAGGAGATGTAGAGATTTTTGGTGGGGAGCTCTCTGGGGGACTAGGCCTTCAGCATCCTGTGGTTCCACCCCACTCTAACCGCAGTTGCATACAAACATGACTTTCTCAGGGGCAAGCCTCACTTCCAGAAATGTCCCAAAACACTCAGCCACCGAGCACCAACATTTGAAGGGAATCCAAAATGGCCCACAAGCAATTGCAGAGATTTGAAATGCGTTATGCTCCCACGTGCGCACCGGGCACACTGGGCCTCCGGGCCTCTGTGTGCACTCACAGGGACACTGGCTCTGGAGGGACAGTTGAGGGACAGTTGAGGGTCAGTGCTGTTGCTAGGCTACAAGTGTTCTGGACAAAACATTCCAAGCCGCTGAGCTTCGCAGCCAAGGTGTGGCAGCAAGACCTCTGTGGCTCTTCTGCAGCGCCAGCACTGAGATCAGGAGGTGGCAAGAGGCCAGGAGGGAAGTGAGCGGTGTCGGAAGGCGATAAGCCAGATGAAGAGGAGACTCGTTAAGTTCATGAGCTGGGTGGTCTCCAGCATCCATCAGAGAGAGTGCAGGGGTCGTGAGCACCCCGTGCCTGCATGTCATGTCCATAGGAGTGATACAGAGTTCCACAAAGCCTCATATTTAGGTGACAGGCATAAAGTGGAGGAGTTGCTGTCACATGAGAAAAATGGAGACAGCAGAGACAGGAGGAAAAGGTAACAGCAGTGGGGCGGAGCCAGGGGGGTCCTGGGAGGAGCTGCCAACTATGGCTGTAAGACATGAATTTTAAATTGCCTTCCCATGTCAGAGATGTTGAAGTGTGAGACAATGAGCATGTTAGAATCATTGAAATACAGTGTTCTCTCTCATCCTTGCAGCAACAAAGTAGATATACTATCATTTTACTTAATTGAAGTGCCTTTGTAAAATAGTAACAGTAACAATTATAATATTACCTAACAATTATTGAGCTGTTACTTTGTGCAAGGAACTTCCAGACACTTTGCATAGCTTTTCATTTAAGCATCACAGTGGCGTCCTGTAAGATAACTACTACTTCATGCCCATTTTGTTGATGAGGAAATTGAGACACAGACAGGCTAAGTGAGAGCTAATAAGTGACAGTGTTAAAGTAGAAGTCAGACCCAAGTTGAGCTGAACCTCAATGGCTTGCTCTTTCTATTCAAACAGGTAGTTCTTCCATTAATGTGGTGAGTAATAAGAGCTAATAAATATTGTTCTTTCCCCATAGAAAGAACTAAGATAAGAAGACTAAATTTTAGTTTTAAAGGGGTAGGAATAGCATGCTGTTGAATGTTTACAATTATGTGAGTAACTGTATCTTTGAACTAGTATGCTCTAATTCCCTAAACAGTCCTCTCATGTTTGCAGGACTGCCCTACACTTAGCCTGCACTAGCGGCCAGTCATCAGTGGTGGCTCTCCTTATCCAGTGGAAGTGTGATCCTAATGCTTGTGACAAGGAAGGCAAGACAGCGCTCATCAAGGTGTGTAGCAGCCAACCGTGTCCACGTGAGATGGATTTGATTTAATTACTTAGAATAAAAA